CATTAGCATAAGGATGACATTTAAAGACTGAGAGCTGGGTGAGACCACCTAGGAAAGTAGTGTAAAGAGAGAAGAAAGGAGAAACTGAACCTGCACTACCTTGATGATGGTCGGGAATAGGAGGAGGACCAGCCAAGCAGCTGTGGGCATGCTGGCTCCACAAAGCAGTAGAAGAGTTATGACAACATGGCATCTCTGGAGCTCAGGTAGAAAGTACTTTGGGGAGAGGGAGCATCAAGTGTCGATTACTGTTGAGAGATGGAGTAAAATGCAGACAGCTGGATTTTGTGCAATGGAAGTCCCTGGGACCTTTACAAGGTTGTTTGTAGCTTGTGAGGAAATGAACTGACAACCCAGACTCTCCTGTCCCATGCTCTCATGGCCTCATACCTTATATTCTGTAAACAATGATATTGCTGACCATGGAAGCCCGGAGCCTGTGTGCCCACTTGGCCATGGACCACTTTGGTCTGTCTTAGTGTATCAGCAGTCTTTGAAGACTCCCTGTTGCTGCTGCTCCTGCCCAGAGAGAATAAACTTGTCCACAGTCCCCACAGCTCCTTGAGTCTTTCTCCAGCTTCCCTGGTCACGCCTTATCTACCCGGGGTTTAGTGAACAGTGTGAGCAGCAAGACATAGTTCCAAGTGCTTATATGCATTACTCAAATGCACTAGCTTAAAATATTTTTATTTGTTTGGTTTATCAATTTCTCAAAGAGATGTATGAAGGTTTTCTAACATCAATATAGATTGATCAATTTGTATTTCTTTTTGTAAAAAATATTCATTATTTATTTATTTGGCTGCACTGGGTCTTCATTGCTGAATGAGCGCTTTCTCTAGTGGTGGATTGAGGGGGCTGCTCTTTAGCTGTGGTGCACAGGCTTCTCATCAGAGTGGCTTCCCTTGCTGCAGAGCGCGGGCTCTCCCAGGCTCCAGTAGTGGTAGCACATGACCTTAGGCCTCCGTGGAATGTAGAATCTTCCCAGACCAGGGATGGAACCAGTGTCCCCTGCATTGCAAGGCAGATTCTTAACCGCTGGACCAACAGGGAAGCCCTAATCTTGTATTTCTAAGGCCTTCTGCTTGTTGAATTTAAAAATTCTGTATTAAGAGATTAAGTGTTCTTGACTCTCATGTCTTGTTAGTGAAATGTGATTTTTATCATCTGGAAGTAGCCGTCTTTCTTTTTAATTGTAATGGCATAAAGATGGATTTTTAAAAATCCAGATCAAAACTTGGTTTTTTAATATGGGAACTTAAATCATTCACATTTTATATTACTAATATATTTAAATATACTCACGTTATCTTGGCTATGTTTTCTATTCAGTTTTTTTCTTTCTGTTTCTTCTTGCTGTCTTTTATTAGATTGATCAAGTTTTCTCATAGTTATACATGTTTTTAAAAGCAGCATCTAGAATTAATCCATCTTTATGTCTTTCCATTAAATAAGAAATTTTTACTCTGACTTCCTCCTTCTACCTCTACATGTGTAACTAATTTTACCAAATTAATTTTATTCTAGTCAAGTTTTACTATTGGTTTTGATTTAGTTTTTTTCTCTTTTATCTCACAGCATCTGTTTCTTTGGATTATCTTTTGCCATTGTTGTTTTGTTTGAGTGCATTTTTGAGTACTGTAATTATTTTAGAGATAGTATGATTGTGGCAAAACTTCTGAATCCTTGTATGTTAAAAATGTCTCCAATTTTGCTCTCATATTTGATCATAAATTTGCGTTTATAGATTTCTAGGTATGAAATCATTTTCTTTCAGAATTTAGCACCTAAGATTGCTGATGAGACGTCTGATGCTAATCTGCCTCTTCTCTGATTATAAATAACAGAAACTGGCTCTGGCTAATTTGTGCAAAAAACATTTTTTTGGCAGGTTATTGGGTAGCTCACAGAATTACCTTGAAGGCTGAAAACCAGGCTTAAAAAACCAGCAGGATCCAAGGTGGCCCCAAACAAGGATACTATGTAGAAACAGTCTGGTTAGGTCATTGCTTCCAGTCTTTGTGGTCACTCCAAATTCAGGTCCTGGATGGAACAGTTAACACTCAAATTGCCAAACCTGAAAGCAGAGTTATCTGCCAGGCACCCAGTAAACATGTGTGATAGGCAGAAAAATGGCTCGAAAGATGTCCATAGCCTAATGCTTGGAACTTATAAACATGTTCCTTTAAATGGCAAAGAGACATTGCAAATATGATTAAGTTACATAATTTGAGAAAGGGTGATTAGCCTGTATTATCCAGGTGGGCCCAATCACATGATTCCTTAAAAGTAGAGACGCTTTCCCAGCTGTGATCGGAGGGAGACATGACTAACACAGAGGGGTCAGAGAGATGCAGTGTTACTGTCTTTGAGGATGGGGGAAGGTGGTCATGAACTAAGGTATATGGTGGCTGTTGGTAGCTGGAAAACGCAAAAACCAAAGTCTCCCCTAATCTCCCGAAAGGAATGCTGACACCTTGAGTTTAGTCCTGGACTTTCGATCTACAGAACAGTAAAGTAATAAATTTGTGCTGTTTGAAGGCACTGTGGAAAATTGTTATGGCCACAATAGAAAACCGGTACCCCACACATTTGCAGTATTTCTCTGTTGTGATGCTAGAGCAATGAAAGGCCTCACTCTGGTGGCAGACTATGAACATTGTGAGCCTTGTAGAGCTATTTTGTCATCTAACACTTCCTCCTGTCTTCTTGCATCCCATCACTCTCTGATGTCCCTCTGATGTCTTCTTTCAGCCAATTTAGGGGCAGGGGAAAGCCAATGGAGCCCATGTTCTGAATATAGTTCTTTAATACGTTACCCTGATGGTTGATTCAGAGCTGCCTTCTGTATTATTGTAAATGTCCCTCTGAGTGTGGAACTCGACTTGCTCTTTCCATTGTTTTAATCATTTATTTGTTTTTTCAGCAGCCAGTTTGGGGATGTGATTTTTTTCTTCACTCTTGTCAATGTTGTTAACTTTTATATTTCAAATTTTTCTGATAATACTGCCTTTTCCTGTTTATCAGTACTATGTGAATTTCTTCTTTAAAAATGCTTTGCACCTGTCATTGTAAGAAAACTGGGGTGGAAGGGGACGTGATCTTATGTGTTCAATTCACCATCATTATCCAACTGATGCCTGTTACTTAGGCTGATTATTCTGAACCTGGGGCTCAGGCATAATCTGAAGGACTAGAAAGTTCCCTGAAGGGTGGGCCGTGTGGTCAAGTTTCAGCAGGGAGGCCCAGGAGGAAGCCAGTGGAACACAGGGTTTAGGAGAACCCAGGTGGTGGTCAGGTAAGCCCCCTAACGGGAAAAGACAGAACAAACCTGAGTTCAAACCCCAATTTTGCCCCTTTTCAACCAGGTAAACTTAGGCAAGTTTCACCTCTATGAGCTTCCATTTTTTTCATTTTAAAATGGGGTTAACACCATCTATCAGACAAGGTTGCTCTAAGAATTAAATGAGACAATATTGGCAATGTGCTTATCATAGACTTGGCAATATTGGGTATTTACTGAGTGCCTTTACATGGATTAATCTTGTTTAATCCCAACTTTTAAACCTATTACACAGATCAGGAAACTGAGGAATAGGGAATTTAAGTAAGGCTTAAGGCTGTAATCATAAAGTGGCAGAGGAGGGATTTTGAACCTGGGCAGTCTGGCTGTCATGTCTGCACACACACATCATGCTGCAGATTACCCTATTGGGCTGAGTGCTCTCTTTTGCCTTTCAAAATTTCCTGTGTGGTTTTGGTGGAGGGAGCCAGATTGATTTTAGGAACTAGAAAAGGATTGAGTCAGCAAGAGAGGATTAAGTGGCTCCAGTAACAGGCAAGCTGAAGCTGGTGGATCTTGTAGGTTATTGTTTAGTATCCAAGTTTGTTGGCTTATTTGCTTTTATCATGTGCTTATTTTGTGGAGTTAACACTTGCGTAACAGTAACATGTACATATCTTAAAGGCACAGCTCAGTGAATTTTCACATGTGTTTACACCTAAGTATTTGCTATCTGGACCAAGCCAAAGAATGTTTCTAGCCCCCTTGAAGGCTCCCTTGGGCCCCCTCCCAATTGGTACCTGGCCAAAGGTAACTATTGTACTAACCTCTATCATTTTGGGTCGGTTTTTAGTCCATTTTTGAGCTTTGTATAATCGATTATAGGGTTTGTGTTCTGTCATGTCTGGCTTCTTTTACTCATCTTACTTATTTAATTTGATGAAGAATCAGATACTATGAATCTGTGAGCATATGACCACCTTCCATGAGCAGGTAGTTAAGGTCTCCGAGTGTGACCCCAAGGGCTCTGTGTACAACATACCCTTTTGTGCGTCTCAGTAGCAAGCTATGGGGGATGGGGAAGAAAAGGAAAACTTGCCCAGTCAGGGCCACCATCCGCTCCTGAAGGCTCTCAAGGTGCCCTGAGCTCGAGGGTGGACATTCTAGATATACTGTGTGTGTGAAGTGAATGTTAGTTCTGTTTTTATTTCTGGGATTCCCCTTTGAGCTGGGACAGCTGCCTGAGTTTGTTTGAGGGTAGAACGTTCTTTGCCTTTTTGCAGCTGTGGTCGTGCAGTGGAAAACTCTGACTTGCTCTACACACTTGGGTGCAAGTAATGTCCATGCCTGACTCCAGCCTCTGGGAACCCATTTTCTCAGGGTAGGGGCATAGCTGTCTTCTCTGTGAAACACTGCCTTCCATGTCCTCCCTCTTAAGGATAATTCCAGCTTCTTTTCTGGAAGAACCAAGAATTCTCAACCATAAAGAAACTCTTTAAGAGACTCAGATCTATAGAACAGACTTGTGGACTCTGGGAGAAGGCGAGGGTGGGATGTTTCTGCACTCGAATTATCTCAGCTCCAGGTTTTTCAGCTACAAAATGATGGTGAAACCAACCTTGCAAAAATGTTTTCATTGGTAAATGAAACTAGCTATTTGTAAAGCTCCGTATTTAGAATCCTAATAAATGTATTATTATTATTATTATTTCTACAGGAGGCATCACCTGCTTGCATGGAAGTAGGAATAGCTGAATTGGGTGGCCTGGACTGCAGAGGAGCGAAGCACTTTGTCAGGTAGGTGGGAAGCGGGCTGGGGCTTCTCTGTCTCCTTTATGTTTCTGAGCAGGTAAGTGGCATGAGTCAGCAGGTACTGGGAGGTGGCCCTGTGCTCTCAACATAGTACCCAAACCTGACCAATAATAGAATCTCATGGAGAGTTTAAAAACATTCCTACCTCAGCCACTTACTTTCTTTAGCCACTACTCTGGTTAAGGATCTGATTCAGTAGGGCTTCAGGACATGGGGGAAAAAAAATCCTAGGTGATCCTGATGACCAGTAAGGTCTAGAGACTTGTTCTAGAATATATTCCTTCCCAAAAGTCCGATGGTTTGAAACATTTCCATATTATCTGAGAGGGGGGGTATAAAATTAGAACTGGGGATGTCCTGAGTCATCTTAACCACCGTGAAGGAATAACTTTTGTGGAACTGTCTAGATGACATGAACCTTATCACATACATTGTAAAGCCTGCGTCTTGATTTCTGTGACAAAATTTTCATCAAGGTAGAGGAGCAAAGCTCACCAGTACCTTGTTCGAGTAATTGTACGATGCTCAGTCCCAAGCAGTAACCAAACTATTCCTTTAACTGGGAATCGTTATTACATTAAAGTAAATTAGAATGATCAGGCATGCTTTTCTCATCTTTGTAGCCCCTCCTTAGCTTCTGTTATTGAAGGCATATTTATAACTACCTCTCTAGAATGCAACCTCTGAGCATTCTGATGAGAAAGAACATTAGACGATAGGCTCTTAGGACTGTGAGCTGAGAATGTCCATTAGTGTCCTAACAGATTAAGTCAGCACGGGGAGAGAATGGGAATTAGAATTCTGATGGGAGATGGCTTGAGGGGATCAAACAAATCTAAGAATCTAGTAGTGCTTTATTACATATTACTGTAATTGAAACCTTAATTTTGTAATTTATAATTGAGTTTGGGAGTATTGAAAATTTAGAGAGAGGGCAGAGATGAGAAAGGCTTGGGGAAGCCAGAGGATGTGAGGACAATACAAGCCCATGTGGGAGATGAAGAGGGATAGAGTCAGAGAGCAAGAAGGTTGTTGAGGTAGAACAATACCCAAGGTAACGATTATCTCCTTCAGCCCTTTATGGTTCCTGCTGGACAATTCCCGCCCCAACTTTTCCCTGCCTCTTTTTAGTATTTCACCCTGGTAAAAGGCAGAACTAAACTAGTTTCTTGAGGTAGTCTCAAGATGACTTAAGTAGAAGTCTAGGAGATGGCTCAGATTATAGCCAAGAAAATACCTAAATGTATCTGATCACAGCTTTGTCCTGTATTACTTAGATGCGTTACTGGGGGCAGAGCTCATGGAACTTTTGCAAACAGCCTGGAGCTTAGAGGGTGTCTTCATCACTTGTTTTTGGGAATTTGAATCCTGTCTATGCTGTTTATTGTGTGTGTATTGCATTTGTTTTTTTGAATTGAGTTCCTTTTAGAGCAAAACTGGCTTATTGCTGTGAAGAGGTTTGATTTTTGGTTTTGCTGCACTTAGAGAAAACAAATAAAACCTAAGAATTAAGTTTCTTGGTTCTATGTGCACTAGATTTATATTATACCTTCTCAGAATGAAGAGGCTTTACTGCTAGGGAATAAGTGACTATAAATCCTCCTAGCTTGTCATTCCCCCAACTTTAACCTCCACCCCTACTCCCACTGGGTTATTTTGAGGCATTTGAAGTAAATCTCAGATGTCATTTCATTTCTGCTGTAAGTATTTTAGCATGTGTCTCTTAAAGATATGGATTCTTTTTAAAAACATAGTTTCAGTTTGGATTAAGTGACTAGCAAAATAAAGAGGTGTACTTGCAAAACAAAACATAGCCACAATACCTTTTTTTTTCACAATACCTTTATAGTACTCAAAAATATTGATAAAAATTCCTTATTATGGTCAAATATCTAATCAGGTTTAAATTTCCTCCATTTTTGGATTTTGCTGATTAGTTCACTGAGATGTTGCTTAACAAGTTCCTTTATTCCCTGTACATCCTGTAAGCTGAATATTAGCTCTAGGAGTTTAATCTGACTTGGCTTGTTTTTTTTGGGCAACATACTTCATAGGTTATATAATTCCAAGCTTATATAATTCCATTGGAAAGCATATGATTGTAGCAGGCATTGACTAGAAGATTGTTCATTTTTGACTGCCCCTCAACTGAACTATCAAGCTATATGCACCTTAGACATACCTCATATACATACCCTCTACTTTGTACTATTTTAACTAATTAGGAAATGGTTACTTGGTATAAGCTCATCTCACAGAAGGTTCCATTAATCTTCAATATATGTAAGTAAGCATTTTCTCAATTCCCACCTGTTGTGATATTGCTGGTTGTCTATTCAACTACCATCCATCTCACCTGTTTAATGCACTGACAGAGCCTGCTTCTTGTTAAATAGCCTGGCCACTTTTTCCAAAGTGCCTGGTTTCTGGGAAACTCTTTCCTTCTTTATGAGGATTCTTGTCATCTTTGGTTTTTTACATGAGGTGTGATGTTGTTATTTGGTGTTCAGTGGCCATCTTCTGACCTTAAGGAGTAAGCTTAAGGGTTAACACCAATGTGTCCAGGATGATGGGATGGAAATGTGGGATGAGTCCGGATGCTCCGTAAGTCATGGAGCCACTGGATTAGGCAACCTTGCAAATGCCGTGCCTCCAGACTTCTTATGTGAGATTATTTAAAAAGGTGTATTTAAACCACTTTCAGCTGATTGTTTGCAGCTATAAATAACACACCATGTATATTCAAATAAATTTCTTTTGTGTTTCTGTTCACTATCTAAAGCCCTGATACAGGGGGGAAAAACCGTATAAACTTTGATCTTGAGTCAAAGTCTTTGTTAACCACACTAATAGAGCTAAAATGATGATACAGATAGCACAAATCATTGAATCATCAAAATTAACTTGTTTTGATGTCATATTTTAAATAAAATCAGTTTTTGATTAGATACAAATTGAAAAAGCACACAGCAACTTAAAAGTAGAGATAGAGGCCTAAACCTTCTGTGTTGGTGATAAGAACTGGAGTTGAAATATTTTCCCAAGTCTCATCATCAAAGCACATAATCAAGAGGTGACTTTGAGTGTTGGCAACAAAGGGAAACTTTTCCCTTGTTACATTATGCTGTACATAATATTCGTATTAAGTAGGAGAATTGGAATTTCTGAATCTCCTCCTTTGCAAGAAGACAATTCCCAACATTCAAATTGAATGCACAAAGTTAGCAGGCAGTGATGAGGATTTAATTTTTTAAAAAAGGTATGATGTTTGGAATCTAAGAAGCAGCTACAGAACTGAAAAAAGCAAAGGCTATCTGATGATCTGACCTGTGCTTGTTCCTGATTCTGTTTTTTTTTTAATTGATAAATAACATGATGCTCCTGCTTGTATTTTGCATTCCCAGACTGTTGAAAGCAAAGTTTTATTGTTTTTTGATCAGTTGTAGATTGCACCTTTGTCCTTGCAAACAAGGTGATGACAGTGAGTGATTCCATGAAACCCTTGGTAACAAACCTCCTTTGTGCTGTGTGAAGAACCCCTGGCTCATAAGTGGATGACATCAGCAGGCTTCCCACCCGTTCCTATGGATCCCTCAAAGTACAGAGACTCATTGTTGATGACTTTCACTCTGAACAGCTGCCAGTCTCACTGGCTTCATTCACTGTGAAGATGGTGATCATACCTCCCAGAATTCAAATAATCTGTTTTCAGACCATGTGTCAGGCCATCTGCCCTTGGGTCTGTTTAGGAAAATATGATCACCTTAATTATGGCACAACCCCTTCCAATTTCTCTGTCTGCTTGGAGGTTTTCCTCACAGGTCTCATTGTTTTGGACAGGTCTCAGGTGGTGTCCCTTCTCCTTTGCTGACTACATTGAATTACATATGTATTCAGTGGAAACATCCTCCTATAGGGATCCTGCCTAGAAGGCATTTCAACATAGTCAATACTTATGCACAGTAAGGCAGAGCCTACCTCCCTAGGAAAAACTACCTGATCAGAATTCTGAGTGAGTTAAATGTCCATTAGCACAATAAAATTCAAAGCTTTTAAAATTGCATAACATGATCCATTTAAGCAGGTGAGCATAGCTTATCTTGGAAAAGTCACCGAAAGGAAGAAGGCAGGGTCAGGGTTCAGCTTTGGAGGTCGGTAAGAGCAAAGAGCGACATTTGAGTCCACTAGGGGCAGGCTCGCTGTCTGCAAGTGGTGGATCAGGCAGCAGGCTTGCTGTTTGTCTGACACTGTGGCTTGGAGAATGTACCAGAATTTCTGCTGTCTTTTCTGTCCTGAGTGCAGTGAGCCAGGCACATGAAAGGCACTCAGGAGATACTTGCCAAACTGCATTGATATGTAACTTTTACTTGAATCTACTGTTTGCTACCCCAGATAAATGCACTTGCAACCATCTTTCTGGTTCAGAGTCTCAAAGCTCGTCTGAAATGTCATAAAGAATGTTTGTACTTAAGGATAGTTTTTCATGGAGGACTTTGATCTTCTGAAAATTTTTTTAATCTGATTATGTAGTCAGAATATTAGAAATAAAGTTTAGAAGAGGACAGACAGTTCTTGGGTACAAGGAGATTGGTAATGGCTTGGGACAGGTGAATAAATATATTTATCTGGTTCTGTGAGCCTTATCCCTTTATACCACTACCAGTATTTTATAGACACATTTTTCTATTCAGTAGTCAAGCTGTAAACACACTGAATCTTGATAGTCATGTCTTAAAAAAGGGGAGGGGGGAAGAAAAAAGAGAAGCACTGCCGTCATTATCCCAATGGAAATACCTTTTGTCTTTGGAAGCGCAGGCTTCCATGTGGACCATCACCGGCCTTCACTTCACTTTCAACCCATCCCGACCATAGGCTTCCTATAGGTCTGCCCTTGTATGTAACTGGTGCTCTTAGAGGAGACTCTGGACCCACTGTTTCCTAAACCCAATCCCAAGGTTTTGTTTTTACATAGAATTGTAGGTGCT